TATTTTGTTTATTTCATCACTAATACACTTTGAAGAAAATTCTCTTTATTTCTTTTCTTAATTTCTATACTACACACTGTGCAGCACCGTGGTTTTATCAAATATTAATTGGATTTGCCAGATCATTGCATGTGTAAATATATATATAATTATTTATTATACGTATATATTTATGTAATATTTTTACATAATTAAGTAATTTCATGAATTACAGTTTGAGGGACCTGCCTGGCAACCCATGCAGAAAGTTCACAGAATTTGGTTCGCAGGCACTATATTTAACCCTGTAACTTTCCAAGACACCATAAAACCTGTTCATGGGGTGTACTCTTTTACTCGGGAGATTTTGCTGAATACAAATATTTGTCCGATTGGTTATGTTGCCTTTGAAACCGTATGGTAGCCCAGGAACTGACTACCATGATGGTACACCATTTACAAAAGTAGGCAACCCAAGGTATTACAAATGGTGTATGTCCAGGCGCAATTTTTTTTTTTTTTTTTTGTGCACAGATTTACAAGACGACATACGGTGCAGCAAACGTAATCGCAATATTGTCAGAGGCTTTCACATATGTGGCATTGACACAGAGGCACGTTTTTTAAGGTTTAAGTGTAGTAAAGGTTGGTAGATTGTTACACCCCAGCTGGCCATGCTGGAGGGAGGTTAATATAACATGCTCACAGAGTACTTAGCTGAGGGCATATGCAGACAGGGCCAGCGTGACCAGGTATACCTTACCCTAAGACAGAATAACAAGGCAGTAAATTATAGTAATGGTAAGGGTTACTTCCTGGGGAATAAAGAAAAAATAACAGCTTATTTACATTATTATTAAAATGATTATTAACAAGCTTAATAACCACCTGGAATAGAGACTTATGTGGCATTATGATAAGCTGATAATGCATAGCGACATCTGAAACAGGGTTCTTACGATTGGAAAATAGGCATGTGTACAAAGTCACGTAATGACATTAACAGCGGGTTCTTGAAGGCCTGTCTTCCTGTTTTCAACCTGTGCCCCATGTGTGCTGCAGGAGGCAGTTCAGGGTGCTGCCAGTGGTTTCTTGGTGGGGCCCGTTATCATATTGTGGTTTGGTGGCCGGGTTCTGTGCTCCAGGAGAGGCTCTCGCTGTTTGTGTCGGCAGCCTTCTTCTCCATATCTCTGGGCTGTTCGCCTGAGGTAGCTTTGGGTTGTGGTGGTGCTGTAGGCTTTATAGGCGACTGGTGGGCTTCTCCAGGGCAGGAGCGTGGATCACTGGGCCTGCAGGCTGGGCGGTGGTAGTTTTCTTGTGGTTGGGCTTAGCCATTGGCAGGTTGCGGCATATGGGTATGCAGGCCCGTCGGAGACGTTGCCGTCTTCAGCGCTGTGTTCTGGCCCTCTCTGTTCAAGGGAGTGTGCGACTGTGAAGGGAGTGTGCCGGCAACACCATGGGTGATTGCTCTTCAGGTTTGTGATGTTTAGCCTGCTGCTCCCTGAGTGCCAATTTTTCCCAGAAGGCGTTAAATAGGTCGTCCAACCTAGCCAGCAAGTCCGGCTTCTCTTCGTTGTGCTTGGGTACACACGAGGCTTCCGACATTTTGCTTGACACTGCTTGTGCATTCTGCTCGTAAAATACCATTGTGTGAGTTGGTTGCAGGTGGGTTGCTTCTCAGGAACGAACCGGGATAACCTCCACCGGTCTGGGGTGATGGGTAGAATGTTGGTGAAACCACACCTCCGCTGCAGGGACGAGGAGAGCGTCTGTCTCTCCCTGGCTCCCTCACCAGCAGGCCGCGCTGCACCACCTCAGGCCCCCGATCTCCAAAAATACTTGGGTAAAGTACCAGGCTGTTCACCAGGGTACCCCAAACTCGGGTAATGCACCCCGGTATTTGTGGAATCTCCGTTATGGTGAGTATTCTCAGATTATTAAAGCTGGAGCCTAGCTATCATGTGACTGTTCAGCTTGCTTGTTAGGCCTCGCCCCCATCCAGGCTTTTTTAATAGCCTCTTAGCCACTTAGTCACAAACACTGGCCAGAATTAGCGTTAACATTAGTTTTTTTCCAATTTTCACACACAAACAAATATGAATGCTAATTTTGGTCAGTGTTTGTGACTAAGTGGCTATTAAAGAAGCCTGGACATACCCCATTTGTAATACCCTTAGTTGTCTACTTTTGCAAATGGTATGCCATCATGGGGGTAATTCTCGTTCCTGGGCTACAATTTGGTCTCAAAGGCAAATTTCAATGTGTTTAAACTGAAAAATGTTACGTGCTATATTTGACCCCGTAACTCAAAAACACCATAAATCCTGTACATTTGGGGTACTGTTTTACTTGTGAGACATCTTTGAATACAAATATGTGTACTTTATTGCAGTTACAGCCAACAGTATTATGCTATTCACAGTTAAAATGCCATGCTGAACTAAAAAAATAACATTTCTTAATTTCTTCCAATTTTTTATAAATTTTTTTATATTAAATCATGTTTCATATATAAATATTTGGTATGACATGAAAGCCATGTTTCTCCTGACCAAAATTATATATAATAAGTATGGGTGCATTTAATATGAAAGAGGTGTGAATTCTGGTTGAACAGACATATAGCGCAAATTCAAATTTTTGTTTACTTTTTGTTTTGCTCACAACTTGTACAACTGCCTCAGTCCTTAAGGGGTTAAGCAAGGTAAAAACAATTGGGTTATAGAATCTACATACCTACATTGATCTGTCCAATCTTGAATGAGGTGGTTGTAAATATTAATACTTCCCTCTGGACACACAGTGCACCACCTCTCTCTCACATCAGAAGCATTGGGATACAGTAGCATTTTTGTTTATATAAAAAGCTTCATATGTATTAAGTATTCACGTGTTTTAAACATGATTACTCAGATGACATCCAGTTGTGAATTTGTTTTTATTATAATAAGCCCTGATGCACTGCCCCAAAAAGTTGACTCTCTCCGTTATAGATAACTTATATGGGTGATTGTTTTGCAGGGAGGCCTTGTAGGTCTTGTGGATTACCCAGATGATGATGAGGAAGAAGAAGACGACGACGAAGAGGAGAAGGAAGAGACTCTGCCACTTGCAAAGAAACAAAGGCTTGGGTCTTAATACCAGCAAACAAAATTTACAAATTTAGTCAAGACTCACTAACTGATCTCCCACAAGAACAGAAAACCACAGCGGTCACCCCAAGTCCTGTGTGTGCGTCTGACACAAATCAACATGTAGATTTCTGCTCATCAAGTGCCAATTCCAAGGAGCACGAGGAGGGGGAGTTATACAGTTGAACGAAAGGAACCTTGTACTCTCCTAATTTAGACCACACACTGGCCTTTTCTCAGGGAAGGAAAAATGAATAAAAAAAAGAAATATATATATATATATAAGCCAACAGGGCAGGAGTTTGACATTGAACTCTAGATTGACTGGTCAGTTGCTCCAATCAGAAAAAACAAAATCATAAAAATGAGAGCAAGGGGTTCTGAATCGGATAAGTGGCGTTCAGAAGAGGGTTTTGTGCAGCTACAAAGAATGCCAGCACTTCTCTTGGTGGAATATTTCTGCCTTTAGGATTCACACATTGTGAACATTTTGTCATTGTCACAACACGTTTTAAAGAAAAGAAAAAAAAAAAAAGAAAAAAAAGAATCCTCTTTGGGGAGGGCCAATTATACCATTTTGTCCTTTTTGTGTTTTTTTTTTTTTATCTGTCCCCTCATGCCCGTAAAACTGCAGTTTTGTTTTAAGGGTGTAGGGATAACTCCCAACCCCTTCTTGATTAAAGGTTGAGTGGAATTCTAGATGTGGTCATTTGGTCTCCTGATTTTTTTTATGATGATTTTTTTTTTTTTTGTCTACCCTGAGTGTATGCTGAGTTGTTGAATATATATTTGGGACCATTAAATTTTTTCATGTAATATAATTGTCGTTGTAATGGCTACCTGCTTTGCAGTGTTTCTTGCTCCCAGTGTCAGAATTTTTACTTTTTTTTTTAAATTTAATGTTTAGTGTTGAAGGTTCTGCTAGAAAATTAGACTCAAAGATTACAAATCTATTTAAAAAAAAAAAAGTGTTTTAAATTTTTAGGGGTTTGGATTTTTATTTTATTTTTTTGTTCTCTGCCTGTCTCCATATGTCAGGTTTAAGCTTTTATTAAAATATTTTTTTACTGACCTGGAATCCCAACTTGTAGGAATGTATTTTGATTTCATTTTAGGGGCATTTTTTTACATAATCATAAAGTGTTTCTGGTCACGTACATGGACCAGTGAACACTTTTTAAAGTATTCGTAATTTTGAATACCTGTTTAAGTTATTACTTTCAATGTTAGACTGTGAAAAATTGTGTCAACTTTGCTGGATGAGGATGACAGGATATGTTATCGGAACATTTGCAGTGCAAACATTACCATTCCTGTGCTAGAGGCTTGTAAAGCATTTAATATTCCTGCAGCACTTTAAAGACATTAAAACATTACAAAACCATAAAAAGTTTGTAAAAGTAATGAGATCATATAGCACCATCATTTTCCACAATGCTTTACAATTACACAGAGAATATTTAACTGCAAGTAATTGACGTACAAAAAAAAATGACAGACAAGAGGTGAAGAATACCCCGCTCAATTAAGTTTGCATTCTCAGGGATGGTGCAGTTGGTAAATAAATATGCAGTAGTAGGTTCACAAGTTTAATTGCTGGCAGGGTTTGTTTCAGATAAATCAGAGTGTCTAAATTACCTTTCTTGTTTCTGTGGCTTAGAGTTTCTGCTACATCTGGTGCAGTGATAATAATTTTTTTGCAACTGCTTCCATTCTCTACCCCTGTCTCCAGCAGGAGAAAGATCCAAATGTTATTGATCATACAAAATAACAGAAGGAAATTAGAAAATACACTTTAAGTGCGTGGGAATTCATTATACGTGGTAAAGAAAATATAATGCAACATAGTACCCAATAAAATATAACCTAGGGAGACCGAAAGTTGACAAAGTAAATCTCAACAATGGCAAAATGCTACTAAGCGGAAATGTTTGAGGCTTTTTTCTCGGTTTTTCAGATACTGCTTGAAGGTAACACTTTTTATGATCAGTTGAATTATTTCCTTTTGTTTTTGCCGTTGTTGCTGTTTACGTTGTGAGTCTTGGATCACCCTGTGCTATATTTTAACCGAGAACAATTCTTTCTTTGCTTTATCCTTTATAATGAGTGCATATGTACTTAGTGTGTATTTCCTCACACTGAACAAAAAAGAACAAAAATATATTTGATTTAGAGACTGGATCAATAGATAATAGAAATGGACACTATAGTCACCATACCAACAACAACTTAATGTAGTTGTTCTGGTGAGTATAATCCTTCCCTTTCAGGCATTTTCATGCAAACACTGCCTTTTCAGCGAACAGGCAGTATTTACATTGCCACTAGGGATACTTCCAGTGGTCACTCCTCAGATGACCACTGGAGGTGCTCCCTGGGGTAGTGCTGCATGAAGACACTGAATTTCCTCATAGAGATGCATTTACTCAATGCATCTCTATGAGGAGGTGCTGATTGGCCAAAACAGTGTTTGGCCCCGCCTCCTTGCTGATTTCAGTCAATCCAATGCTTTCCGTATGGGAAAGCATTGGATTGGCTAAAAATCTGCAATTCTAATGATGCCACCAAGGAGGCGAATCGGGGCAGCGACAGCAGACCTGCACGGCCTTGGAAATAAGGTAGGTTTAAACCTCTTCTAAGGGGAAAAGCCAGCTAAACGGTTTTAACACAACACAAATACATGTTTGTGTTGCTGACCTTAAAATGTTCCTTATTCTATGCATTCTTACAAATATAGCAGCTGCAAGCAGATGTATTCTAAGGATATTCTGTCAGATTACCTATAATGAAATCCCAGTAGTTTGCATTGATGGTCTTCTAGATCTGTCTTTCTATTAAAATTACTGTCATCATTATCTACCCTTTGTTTCATCTTGCAATTTAAAAACCGAATCTAATTTGTGCTGGCTATTTTTAAGTTTGCCCTACTTTTATTAAATCTATAAACTGAATACGAACAAAGACTTTCTGTGGGAACATTGACATTTTTCATCAGTAGAGGGCCACTCTAAGCAAAAAGTTACATTCCCTAGTATATCCTGGCACCATCCTCTAATTTAATATAAAACTGTTAAAAACAGTAATGTCATCAATTTAGCACAACATAATAGCTAAATAAGTTGGCTATAAGGTGTGCTAAAATTATTTTAAAATTCTTTATAGCTGTATAGCTTTTATGTATATGCTTTAACGTGCAAAGCCCAGCAGGTTAATTTTTTCAGTGCTGTACACATGGCGGTGTAACATGCACGTTTGTGGAATTTTACCATTAGATGCCAAATTGTGCATGTGCATCTGTTCATTGTGAGATGAAGTCCTCAAAACGCGTAAGTGTAACACATCCAAGTTTGCAGTAGTCTGAGGTGAAGGACCAAGGTTCATAGATGTGTATAATTCTCAATCTTAAACAAAAAAAAAAAATTGAAAAGAGAACTTTAAAAAAACGATTCAATACTAAGTAAAACTACATAGTTACAGAGACGTGTTCAACCTTTCTCACATCTGTTTTTGATGCTGATCCAAAAGAAAGCAAAAAACCCAGTTTGAATTTTGCAACTAACTAGGAAAAAAATCCTTCTTGGCCCAAGAATGGCAGTCCGATATCTCATTTAATCATGAAGGTAATATCCCACAAATTAAAAATTATTTCCCTGAATATTATGTTTTTGCAAGTATTCATCCAGTTGATGTTAAATCATATTTACTGACTCTGATAAAAACCACCTCTTTCGCACAAGAGAATTCCACATCCTTTATTGTTCTTGCTGGAGAAAAAAAAAAAAAAAAAATTCCTCTGCCTTAGACTAAATTTCCTTTCTTCCATTCTGAATGCGTGACCTTGTGTCTTATTTGTATATTTTTGTTTATGAATAGATTTCCAGGCAATGGTCTATAATAACCCCGAATATATATGTATAATGCTGTTAAATTCCCTCAGCGACACCTTTTCTAAACAAAACAGATTTAAATTTGTTAACATTTATCATAACTAAAATGTTCCATTCCTTTTATTAATTTTATAGCCAACCTCTGCAATTTTTCTAGTGCTATAATGTTTTTTAGAACAGGTGCTTAAAATTCATCCCAAGCATTAATGCTCCTTTTTATACATGACAATATCTTACTGGCTTTAGCAACTGCTGATTGACATTGCACGTGTTGCCTAGTTTGTTGTCTAAAACTATACCCAAATTCTCCTTATGTGTTTTCATCCCTAATTCATTACTGTTTATGGTGTAAAATTCCAAAAATCTAATTAACCACCTAAGTTAAAATTTTAAATATGGGTGAAATGGTATTTACTTTTAAACGTTTAAGATGTAAGTATAACAAAGAATTCCTCTATATCCTCAAATACTAGAAAAAAACTGGGATATACCTACAAAAATATAAAATAAAAAAATACAGCTCAGAGGGTTAGTAAAAACGAAATATTGGTGTTTCAAGGTCGCACTCACAAAATTTGCGCACCATCAGGCTCATTAATATGATGTAAATTTGAGATATTCAGTGTATCCAATTGTTCAAAGACACATGTAAAAAAGTGTATTTTCTGATGATACTAAGATATGTAACCGGGTTGATGTTCCAGGAGGGATAAGCCAAATGGCAAATGATTTAGGTAAACTTGAAAAATGCTCAGAGCTGTGGCAGCTGGCATTTAATGTGGATAAGTGCAAGATAATGCACCTTGGACGTAAAAACCCAAGGGCAGAGTATAGAATGTTTGATACCCTGCTAACCTCAACATTTGAGGAAAGGGATTTAGGGGTAATTATTTCATATGACTTAAAGGTAGGCAGTAGGAAAAAGGAAGTGCTCATGCCATTGTACAGAACACTGATGAGATCTCACTTGAAGTATTGTACACAGTACTTTAGACCATATATCCTGAAGAATATTGATACTTTGGAGAGAGTTCAGAGAAGGGCTAACTGGTTCATGGATTACAGGATAAAACTTACCAGGAAAGGTTAGAAGGAACTTAACATGTATAGCTTGGGAGGGGGCACGGCGATTTGATGTATACACGGACATTCACACGCTCGAAATGGCGGCTCAGTGAGGCGAGGGGTGCTACAAGCTGATTGTGAGTTCAGGTGGGAAGCTTATGCTTATGGCGAATACTTGAGGAAGCAGGCAAAATTTTCAGAAGATATAAGCTGTAAAGGTTGGGAGTCTTTTTTCATTTGCCCTTTTATTTCTCTTCGTTCTGTGTGTTACGGTTGCTACAGTCTAGCGGAGGGTTAGACGGCTTGGATGTCTATGTCCATGATCCTGGAGAGTGGTAGAAAGCTCCAATTCAGCATCTAGCTATATTCCTGTAAGTGTAGCGTATCCAGATAGCTTTTAGCAGAGTTAGCGATCAGCATTTCCCTACAACATGGCTGCGAGTTGAGATTAAGAACACTGGTTTATTGAACAGCAAAGCATTGTTTATATACACATTTTCAGGCCAGAGGTCCACCCCTCTGGACCTAATGGTACACAGTGTGACAAGCGACAACAACCAATAAGGACAAAGTGCATCTTTTCAAACCTTCCACTCTATCCTTGAGATAATTAGTTTCAACGGTTACAGTAACTAACTTAATTATCTCCAGGTACAGGCAATATTCTAGTTTTTATAGATACATGAAAACTACATAAAAATCTATAACTCATACACCATATTCTTTAACTTGTACATTCAACAGCTCTCCAGACAGCTTGGATCTGAGAACATAAGATATCCGAAAAGCGTTCATATCATGAATGACATGGGATAGCCATGGGGCTAAAGATTGTCTCTCTGGCTATTCGGCAAACTATCAGCCCAGACATCCTCTTCCATAATGTCCTGGATAGGGTCTGTATAATCTTCATAGTCTCGAAATACAGAACGGCACGGTGTTTAGTGTTTTATGCACGAACAGACTGGGCATGGGGAATCCCAGTGGGGTTCGTATAAAATAGCGTCCGGAAATAGTACCAGACGGTCGATGACCAAGTCTGGGCGTTCGGCAGTTAAAGATGGCTGCCGCAGCGTGTTCGTGCATACGAACGACGACCACACCGTGGACTACCAATTAGGCTGCGGTTAACCACAAAACCGCAACTCCTAGGTGGTTAATAATGGACACACTCCTCAGGTAGGGTGGTCGGTTGTTCTGCATTTTATTCGGTATTTAGTTCGGTACTGCAGGGGTGAACGAGGTTAATTGGCGGCACACGACAAGGGCCGGGTGGTCTGTCATTCGTACATACCTTGGAGGATTTTTCGTAAGTTTATATCAACAAAGTAACAAAAAGGTTGCAGACAGGGGACACTTTGTAACTGTGTTTGCCTGTCGGCGTTCTGCTCTCGGAGGGGCTTAAACGAGGGGTAAGAAGAGTCCTGCAGAATCATGCTGGTTCATTTCAATTAAGCAAAAAGTACTTGAAGGTCACTTAGAAATCAAGATTCATGTGTTCCTTGAACCTTTTTACTTTTGCTCACACGTGTTTTAAATCTTTTGATACTGATGTGTGACGAAGTGCCCTTTGCCACTTGTGCCTGGAGAGGACTGCTTGCCCGCCTCTTGCCCTGTGACTATGGCCCCTGGTTTGTATTGCCCTTTAAAGACATGATTTGGGCATAATGGATTTGTGTTGTGCTGCTGCTGGCCCTTTAAGAACCATCTGGGGACATACTGTGGAGTTACTGGGTGGCCACCATTTCATCAGAAGCACATGGTGAGAACAATGGATGGCGGCCATTTTAACTCACAGACACTGTTTGGACTTCTCAACACGGTGCCATCTCGCCAGTATTTGGTGCACAGAGACATCGTGCAGTGGTTTTGGACTATACAGCAGGGGACACATTATACAGTGATTGTTTTTCATTTAGCCTGTATATGTTCTGCAGAATCTGCATTAAACTGTATTTTCCAAAGTACTGAACGGATCTGGGTGAATTTTGGATATGTGGTTCAACCAGATCCCCCGGTTCCAAGGATATACTTTTTATGGGGTTATTGCATATTTTGGGGTCCCTGTGTGGTTTATGAAACTGTATTATTTCTGGCCAGCAGATAATTGAGCTTTGTGTATTGTAGAAACTCAATTATCTAGCCTGGCCCAGAGGAGGAGTTTTGTGTTGCATAAATTGTGAGTTCTGTGTGCCAGTAAATCAGTCTTGTTCCAGCATTAAGCCTTGGCTCATGTTTGGGGGATTGGAGAAATACACTCTGGGAAATACACTCTGGGGATTGCTATAATCACTATACTCCCCAGGGTATGATCACTAAGTTCTGCTAAGAGCTTGTTCCTGTTCCTGCTCTCTGGGGAAAGAGAGGTTCACCCACTGGAAGCTGGATCCTGGCCCTGGGTCCAGGGTGGGTGGAGACAGCAGAGACCCCGGCGCAGTTGCATCGCTGGAAGTGGGGTCTGCAGTGCGGTTGGAGTCCTCAGCGAGCACTAGGAGCATCGATTGGCGGAGGTACTCAGTCGGAGTGCCAGCGTTCCGTCACATGATGTAACACTGATTATATAGAATTAAACTCAGGTGGAGAGTGGCAAGAGAACAGGAAATCTGTGATCCCACACTAATCTCACAGCTGAAATGGAGAGAGGGGAAGAGAAAGGCAAAATGGCACATAAACAAAAAGATAAAGATAAAACCATTAAAAAAGAGAAATTCCCTGCTTTTGAAAAGGATAAAGAAAAAAATCGACCTATAAGCCCTTTTTACTCCCTGAAATGAAATGAGTTACCAAAACACAGAAAATCTCTCCCACTAGATACTAAGGGAACAGACAAACACGGATCCTCCGAAGCGACAGTTTCATCTGAAGCAGGTGCTTCTACTCTGTACCCTAAATCCCAAGAGATCACCCAACCGCTATTAACAGCACTTTTAGATGAA